GAATATTCGCATTTTACAGATAAGGACTCTGAGGCTCAGAGACATAGTAAGTGATGGATTCAGGATATCATGGAACCTGCCAGGAATTGAGCTTTTTAAAATAAAGGCCAGGGACAGGAAATGAATCTACACACTTAGCCAAACATGTTAAGAATGTGAAATAACTCACTCCTAGTTTTCATAGTGCTTCAGAGATTAACTAAATAATCTTTAGAAGAATCCAATCCAAGCGTGCAATTCTTTGCATTCAGCACATACACTTGCTAAGAAAAAAGTTAGCATTCCTTGCAGGAAATGCTTTTATTTTACACCATCCCTACTCCTCATAATGACTTTTCTTGGTGTCTTTCCAAAGACTCTATTAGAACAAACCACTTACCCTCAAGTAAGTTGTCTATACGTAGTTATCTATATGTAGTTGGTAAACTATAACAGGAAAAGAGAAAGTGGCCCATAGCCAGTCTCAAATAGACATTGCTGTTCTGTCTCATGAAGGTTATGAAGCAACCTAGAGCTTTTAGGCTTCTGGGTTTTGCTATGTTTTGCTATCAATGCCCAGACTCTCTGTATCATCAACTCTCCTGCGTCCTATGCAAATGCAGAGGAAACTGGCCTTCACAGAGGCCTCAGGAGGATATACTTGAACCCTCCTCCCCTTTCTCATCATCATCATCATCACTGCTATCATTTATGAAGCACTGACTGTGTGTCCAGCACTCTCTTCAGGTTTTAAGTATCTTAAAGCCTCTCAACAATTTTGTGTGGTAGCTACCATAAACTCATTTTTCCAATTTAGGTAAAGGAGGCTAAGGGAGATTGTTTAACTGCCTCAAGGTCACACAATGAGGAACAGAGTCTAGATTAAAACCCAGATATTTAACTCCAGAGGATGTGCTCTTAACTACAAAGTTATGTGATTTGCCTTAAAGGATTTACAATAGGGCACAGAATCAAGAAACAATGGACCAGATGTGTGGGTCTAAAATAAGCCTGTATTTACATAAAGAGATAGGATTAAGATTTAGGGGTTCTTAATCTGGGGTCCATGAACCATTGATTGTTCACAGATTGATTTAGGGAGTACAGTATGATCCCCCAAACAGGGGTCAGTAAACTTTTTCTTAAAAGTCCATGTAGTAACTATCTCAGATTTTGCAGGCCATTTGGTCTCTGTTGCAAATACTTCTCTCCACTCTTTTAGCACAAAAAACAGCTACCAATAATACACAGATGAATGGGCAAGGCTGTGTTCCAATAAAACTTTATTTACAAAAATAAGCAGCTGGTCAACAGGCTTTAAATGGTATGCACATTCTATGTGTATATATCCATAAATGTTTTTGTTGTTGTCATTAGAAGATCCATAGTTTTCTATACCTCTTAAATAGGTTCAAATTCCAAGTGGTTAAGAACAAGTGATCCAAATGATCTCCAAACCCCTCTAAGCTTAGACATTTCAGTGTTCTATTATATCATTCTATGTGTCTTTTAAATTAACAATTTCTTAGAGATACTTTCTCTTCAGTAGGCTCTTTAACGAGTTCTGCTGTGAACTATTAAGTGGACAATAACTACTGTCTGTTGAGAAGGAAACATGGGTTGCATTACCATCCAACCTTCCTTTGTTTACCTGGTCAGATGATACTGGCTAAAACACAATACATTCCAGACTGGACTATAACAGCTCAGTCCCGCACCAGATAGTCTAAGATTTGCTGAGGCTTTTTCTTCCTACCAGAGATCACTTTCTGTGTTCCACTGAAGCCTTCTCCACAGAAAGAACTCACTTGTTCTGACCACACTAATATGCAGTTTGTATTCCAGGAGTCAGCCAGGTCTGCCCAGGTATGGTGTGGAGGGGAGGAATGCTGCTGGGTATGTTTGATTCATGCATCCCTGCATCTGTTCAGGGACCCTCTTTGTCCCAGGGATTCCCTACCTTCATGAATCAGAGCATTTTATTTATTGCCTGTGACTATACCAACATGTACCTTTACTCTGCCTCCCTCCAGAGGCCTTCTTCCCCAAAGTAGAATCTCTGGGTGGGATTTGCTGATTTTATTCCATTGTGCCCACCACAGAGCCTGGCACCATGCTTTGCACATATATGACAGGAAAAGCAAAGAGCTAAAAAACCCCACAGAACTCATTTTTTAGGTTAGTAGCACTGAGATCCTTGAAAGCTACAGCCAGTTTTAAATTCTTGCATCACTTTTGAAAATCAAAAATAAGGGTTGTCCAACCAACTGGAATAACAAACAGGATCAAGTGCTTTAAATTTTAGGAACAAGAACAACAGGGAAGTACATATACCATGAATCATAATGTGATTGCAATCATATTCCAGGTTTTTCTGAGAATGGAGAATTGGGTATGGGGAAGAGGTAGGAGAAAGAAATAGAAGGCGAGGAAGAAACTGGAAGAGGACCATGAAACCAGGGGAACAAAGAGACAAAGAGGAATACAGATGAAAGGATGAGTGAGTCTGTATGCTAACCAACTACTGCTGGGTGAAATTCAGTGTCATTACCATGCAGCTATTTCTCACAGCAAGTGACCCCCAAAGAAGGAAATAAACCAGCAAATGAAAATAACAGGAGTATAAATCATTTAGCCAGTACTTATGGAGACTTTATTCCATATTAGATTCCTGTATACATCACATCAGGATTAGTGTTAACTCTCTGAAATGAAACATCAATAACAGGACCACATGGTGCTGACTGTACCCCCAACTAATATTTCAGTCCAGCTTTAATTATTATGTTCATCTGGCAGCAGCATGGTGCCTGCAAACAGAAATGGGTCATGGGAGGCCTGTGTTCTTGTCCTGGAATATGACCTTGGTAGGCCAAGCTCTGTGCCTCAGTTTCTTCATTTGTTAAATGTAAATAAGAATTCGCTGCTCTGCTTATTTCACAAGAGTGTTAGGAGGATGAAAAGTAGAAACACACACACACACACACACACGCTTGGATAAGTATAAAATGCCAGATAAATGTAAAATTGACCTTGTTCTCTCCACTTAACAAGGTAGTGGGTAGGCGGGGGGTGGGGACCGTGGCATTTTGCACAGAAGGCTTGGTGACTCAATGAAGTGTCTTTTTTTCCCCCCCAGTAATATCTGGTCTGGGATTATTACTGCTTTCTCGACGTTTTTAGACATACTTTTCTCCTTCAGAAATGCCAAAGGTGAAAAATACTATTCCACTGCTATAATTTGTCACCCTTGCTGCCTGAGCAAGACGTGCATAGACAGTTTAGTAATTAAGCTTTTCAACACTGCATCATAAAGTTTTATTCCAGCAAAGGCTATATTTATCAGCTAACAAGTATTAAATCACCCCACTGCTCAAGCCGTTTCTCACTTGAATACGCACCTTTCAAAACAGAACAGCTTTCCTTGGCTGGCTTGATTAATGAAAGTTCTTGTTCAGAAATATTGTGATGATGTGTGGTCCAGTGGGGCTGACATAAATACACCTTGGCAACTGTTCCTAATAGTGTGGACCCCTGTCACCCAGGGGGGTTTGACACCTTAGCCCTGGGTCTTTTAGAGCATCCTGCCCATTTGAGTTTCATGGCCCTCTGGGACAGCTTCCAGCAGAGATATATTCCTATATCCATTTCATTGCTAAAGGGGAAGAAGTAAATGAAAATTTAAAGGCAAAATGAGTTTTTAAAATGATTAAAACAGCAAAGTGACAACGATCTCCATTAAATGGGGTTGAGCTTTTTCTCACATTGCTGTAGCCTTATCAAAACAGATGCAGAATTATTAGAGAAACACACTTAGAATGAATATATATTAAAAGTCAATGGTAATGACTTAGAAGAGTACTTTCTTCTTGCAACCCACCCTGCCTTAAGACATCTCTTTTATTCCCTTCCTTTGGAGGACATAAATTCATAAAACAAATATAGACTGTTCTCAAAGGTTCAAGATGCTTTCAGTCAAATGGCTCTAGAATTATAGTTGTGAAACAAAATCGTTACTACATTTGAATGACTTTTATACCATGTTATAAGGGTAAAATAAAAATAAGACAAATGTTAGTCAAATATGGGTCAAAATGATGAAAAAATTATCACCATTTTTATAGAGACTGCATTAATTTCCTTCTTCCTTCCCTGATTTCAAAATAAGTGACATTAATCACATGTGGGCATTTAAATTTTTTACCAATTTATTGCTAAAAGCAAATATACAATAATATGCTGCAGGATCAGCAAACCCACTTTGCAGATACATAAGCAAGTTCTCTGTATGCTTGACAGGAGGGAAGTAAGCATGAAACTTTAAACACTGCTAAGATAAGAAATCTTTTGTTTGAACTCTTCTTAGTTTGAGAGGCTGCAATGATTTCTTTCCTTTCAAAATGATAAAACAGAACTCATCATTTTGCTTTTCAAATCAGCAACAGGTAGCTTGTTTGGAAGACTGAGGATCAATTTCTTTCCAGCCAGCAAGTCACGGGGTTAAGTCACACAAACATGTGGGTGACATGCTGAACCACAAAGTGGGCAAATATTGAACTATTTTAAGTGCATCTATTTTCTGGTTCAGTAAAATTTTTGTTGTGTTAAATTCATTAAACTTGACACAGTCTAAATGTCACAGCACACACTGGAAAGCCCGTTAAAGGTAACAGCACCAGCCATAAAAGATAGCAAAGAGTAAAGATCGATATATTTTCTCTCAATTTCTATTTAATTTTTATCTTTTTTATATTAAGACTGGAATTTGTTTTAAGGTCAAAAAGTATGGTGTGACTTGGAAAGTCAAGTTGACTCTTGTTATTTTCTGAAAAATCTGAAGAGAGGTTTCTTTGTCAGTCAAGTTGTGCTCCAAACTAAGATGATGACATATATGACCTACAATTTGGGATCACTTAATAACTTGAGAGATCAATGAAAAACAAAAATTACATGCTGTTATCCACAGTTTAGAGAAATCTTGTAGTTCAGTGATTTGCAAAATTACTCAAGCCTTAAGATGAGGCCTTGATAATGTGATTATTCTTTATTCAGAATTTAAATTTTCATAAGGATAATAAAGATTTTGGTAGATGAACTGCTACTGTGATTTAGTGTAATTTCGGGGGAGGGTCATTTGTTATTTTTAAGCAAACTTTTCCTCCAATAAGGAGTAGCCATGGCAATTCAGAAAAGTGAAGAAAGGTATAAGGTATGAGGAATTTTCATTCTAGTGTGGGTTGTAACTATTGAAATTATAAAATCGATTTTATACTCCATATGAAAAATGATAATAAGTGAAGAACAATTTTCCAGTAATTTCTCTCAACAAAAAGGAAAAACAAATCAATAACAGAAAATTGTGAAAACAAAAACCCAAAGCACATGTAGGGAATAAGGATACAGGTACTAAGTATAATTCTTTAAAGCTTCTAGAACACATAGGGCAGAAGTGATGCAGCCATCAAAATTGGAATGAGTAAATCCATCCCCTCCACACACGAGGAAAGGTTTGAGATGAAGTGTCATTTGGCCAGGACAGTTGGCAGCAGCATTTGTAACCTGAAAAAGTAAAAAAAGGATTGCAATTCACATTCCGTGCTTTATGGTGTTGTCATGGCAACGCCCACTGGGGGAAGGCTTCCCTACCTAGAGAAATCAAGATTTCTCACAAGGAGTTCTTGGGGGGAAAAACCCCAAACCTGTAAACTCCTTTGGCCTAAGTGTTTACATTTACATTTATATTTTCAAATGTTTAAATTGTTGATTATTAGATAAGATAATCAGAAGTGTGTTGAACTTTAAAATTAGTAGGTGCTATGGTCTGAATATTTATCTTCCTAAAATTTGTATGGTAAAATCCTAACCTCCAAGGTGATGGTATTAGAAGGTGGGGCCTTCTGGGAGGTGATTAGGTCATGAGGGTTAAGTCCTCATGAATGGAATTAGTTCCCTTTATAAAATAGGCCCAAGGGAGCTTACTGGCCCCTTTGATGCCAAAATGTCAGAACACAACCAGAAGGTGTCACCTATGAGAAAGTGGGCCCTCACCGCACATTTAATTTACTGGTACCTTGACCTTAGACTTCCCACCCTCCAGAACCATGAGAAATACATGTCTGTTGTTTATAAGCTACATCGTTTATGGTATTCTGCTATAGCAGCCCAGATAAAGATACCCCTGTTCCCTTTACCATCCCTCCCTCCCTCTCTCCCTTCCTTCCTTATATACATTCCCTGTTTTCCCTTCCTTACATATGTCCTGAGCACTGTCCTGGGCTAGGCCCTGTGCTCAGCACAGGAGCAGCAGAATTTTAAAATTTCACAGCCCAGTCCTCAAGGAGCTCTCAGTCCTTAGAGTAAGACTGACCCCAAAGCAAGAAATGCTCCCTTGTGTTATTTCCTGAGCACCTTCTATGTGCCAGAATGTGTTCCCTTTGCAGACTACATTTTATGAAGAAATGAATTCATTGTAATCAACCCATGTAGGGGACTTTCTATAGAGTTTGATGGATGCATAGAGTGTGTCAGTCAAGGAAATAGGGGCAGGCCATTCTAAGGAGAAAGGGTGGCTTGTGTAAGTGCCCAGAGTCTGTGGGCAGGGGTGGCGAGGTAGAGGACAGAGAGAGAGAGAAAGAAAAGCATGCTTAGGAAACCGTGGGGCTGGTCATAGCGTACGTGTGTGTGTGTGTTGGGGAAAGAGGAAGGGACATGGCAGAGAGGCAAGATAAGATGGATACAGTGTTTCACATTTTTAAATTAATAAATAAAAATTGTCTACTGAAAAAGTAGAACTTTTAATACTACTTATGAGCCAAAAAGGAGAGAATCAGCCACAGTCTGGGACTTATCTTATTTTGTAGAACCAGGTATGAAAAAGGCATAGAGATTATTTTTTTTGGAAAAAATACTCTCAATTTTGGATGGATGACGCTGATAAGCATTTACAGTGAGGAGAATGAGTGGGAGGTGAACGTAGTTATCTTGGACACAGATGGTTTGGCCACTGAAGCACCAAAAACTCCCTAAAAAACCCCCAAAGAAACAAACTTATTATAATGGCAATGTCACTTGGGACTGCTTTATTGCACAACTTCAGGGGGTGCTATTCACGTGGACCATGACATGACAGTTCTAGTCTTCCCTGCACAATGTTTTGATGGAGAGCAATAAGGTAAGGCCCATGAGGATTTGCTTATTTAAAAATCAGGAGAAAACAATCAAGAAATGTGACAGATGTTATTTGGATTATGATGCTAAAGCCTTTGTTCTAGATAGGCTGAGATAGTACATGCCCTTACAGTTTTTTAAAAGCAGAAAAATGCATAGATATGTTTTATTTATATGCTATATTTTGCTTTTAAAAAAGAGGTGGTGCTATTATTTCCTTGTTGAACATTTAAAGATATGGACCTCTAGAGACCTGTGTTACTCAGATTCAAGCATGGAATGTTGAGTATCCTCTCACTTTTCTGGAGGCCACTTTACAGCAACATCATCTGTCATAGACATAGCTGATAATCTTGAAACCAGCAGATAAGATCTTTGAGTGGCTGAAATAGACAACACATAGTGCAGTCACTGAAGTACAGGCTTGGATGTTCAATCAGGGCTTTTGAACCCATACTTTAGATAGAATTTTAACAAGCTGGATTATTTGATTTGTCAGTAAAACAACAAGGGAAGAAGAAAACCTCTAGGTTCCTAGATATTAGTGATTTCAGAATGTGACAGCAGACAGTCTAAAAGCAATGGATGCTATATAAAATCTCAAAAACCAGACATGACTGGGAAGAAGGCTGGGAGTCCAGGGCCATTTAATTGGGTGGGTGGATGGGGGTGAAAGCAAATAACTTTCTGTCTGTTAATAGGCCCTGAAGGCATCAGCTATGAGTCCTGCAATCATTAATGCTTGCAATGATAGCCCCAGTTTTGAAGAAGCAATTCTAATGTGCATAAAATATTCACTGCTAGCATTTCTTCAATGTTCACAGCATAGCAAATGCTTTACATCAGGCGTCCTCAAACTATGGCCTGCAGGCCACATGCTGGTGTTTTTGCCCGTTTTTTTTTTTTTTTTTTTTTTTTTACTTCAAAATAAGATATGTGCCATGTGCATAGGAATTTGTTCATACTTTTTTTTAAACTATAGTCTGGCCCTCCAATGGTCTGCGGGACAGTGAACTAGCCCCTGTTTAAAAAATTTGAGGACCCCTGCACATGAACATCCTATTTAATTCACACAGCAACTCTAGGAGGTGGTTACTGTTATTCTCATTTTATAGATGAGAAAGTCGAGGCTCAGAAAGATTGTTACCTGCCTAAAGACAGAAAGCTAGTCGATGAAGCAACAGGGATTTGAACAGAGCAGGCTGACTCCAGAACTCAAACTTCCAACACTTTTAGAAATATTTCCATAAAGACTCAATTTAAGTAAAACAAAACAAAAATGTTTGATTAGTCACTTAGATTTAGGCACTTGGAAAATTCACATAAATGGAATAATCCATTCATATATATTCATATATATATATATATATATATACACACACATACATGTGTGTCTGTCTATGCATAATTTTTAAAAACAAAACAAAAATGTTTGATAGTTGCTTAGTTTTAGGCATCTGCAAAATTCACATAAATGGGATAATTCATTCACACATATTCACATATACACACACATATGTGTGTCTATCTCTGTATAATTTGCACTCATGCATACATACATAAATCTCCATTTGTGGTAAAGTTTTGATACATTTGAGTTGGCATCCTTATACAGATAAACTGTGGCACTATTAAACATTATACAAGTATTAACCACGAAGGAGCTTAAGAAAAAAAGTTCTGCCCAGTCATGAGCTGGTAATTTATCGTTGCTGTGTAATTTAATTTGATGAGTGGTAAACGCCAGATGCCAGATCACATGGCTGGAAAACTGGGCCACTGATTAGCCAGTCGGCAGTTTGGATGAAATCAATCTCACTGCATTTAGGTGGAATCGCCCATTTTGCAATTACCCAATGAGGAAAATATGAAAACATGGAGCGTGTGTTGGCGAGCTCCTTTACCCATGTGAAGTAAAGAGCCCTGCAGTGGAGAAGCACATAATTGTCAAAGCCACAATCTCACAATAATGCAGCCTTTGGCTACACTTCCAGCCACAGTGAGGAACCACAGCTCAATGACTGTGTTTAAGAAAGATGTCAGGGCTGAAATAACCCCTTGGAAATCCAGGTTGCTTTGCCTAACATGTGTGCAAGAGCTGGTCAGAGAGAACTCCTGCCTGCTCTAGAGTAGCTCTACAGTGTTTCTATTAACCCAGGTGATGACTCAACTGGACATACAAATCAAAGCAGAAAAAGTTGTTTTATTTCTAAGCAATTTAAACCTCTGTGAATGTGTTTTGTGATTTTTTTTTTCCACCTGCAGAATAAAACATAACTCCTAAGCCCCACATGGAGAGTCCTTCCTAACCAGGATCTTACCTTCATCCAAATCTCATCTGCTGCCACCTTCCTCACCTTTGTCACATGTCCTATCTACCTTCAAACTCAGGGTCTTCAAACACACCTTTCTTTGTTGTGCTTCTGAGGCTCTGAACAAGCCATTATGCTGGGTGATGTTACATCATTCCAACTCTCTTCTGACAAGTAAATTGCTTATCCTTCAAGACGCAGTACAAATGTCACCTGCTCTGAGGTCTGCTTGCTCTGCCAGGCAGGGTGTCATTCAGCATGTTATTTATGTCTACTATGTTACTGGCTATTTTGCACTGTAATGATATCCATACCTGTATCCCTTGCTAGACTGTATGCTCCTAAGAGTAGGGACTGTGATTCACTGATCTTTGTATCCACGGCTGAGAACAGTGCCTGGTCCACATTCAAGTGTGCAGTAGATATTTATCGAGTTAAAGAGAGACAATATTGTATACAGTTGATCAAATGAATCTCTCTCAGTAATGATGAACGAGGGCTGTTCTCTTGCCTCTGTGAACTACTTTAAGTGAATGTCTCATGTCATATATTAAGTTGAACCACACAAACTTGCTAATTCAAAATGGTAAAGTATTGTCAATTTTTATATAGTTCAGCCTAGTCATTTCTTTGTATTATGATTATTAGTTGTAAAAATTCACACAAAAAGTCCCTTTGGTGTGAGAATGAAATTAAAGATGAAAAGAAGGAGGGAGGCAGACAAGTGGGCTATTTCCACAAAATGACAGGTGATAATTAGCAAAACATAAATAAATAAATACACTGAAATAATGTCCATTTTTTCTTCCCATACCTATCCTGAAGCTAAGGCATGTCCTTGAACTAAGAGACATTTACCCACAGAGGACAGTCTCAATGGTTTGGCCTGCAGAGTGGCTGTATTAATATTTTAGGCTGTCCTGTGCTAGTTGGCCATCCAGCCCACAATCTGGTTACTTAAAACCAATCCTTCTGAAACATGACACTAGGTGATTCAAGTGGGTTAGGCAAGAATTAAGATTTTACAAATTTTAATCCTAGATGTGCAATTAACTTGAGCAGGGAACCTGGACAACCTAC